TTTTTTTTAAATAAAATCAAACAGAAAAAAATTTAATAATAAAAAATTGAAAACTTGAACCCAAATGGGGGTTCACTAATGGAGGTGTTCTTAGAGTTGGTAAAAACCTCATACGTAGCTATCTGGTATTGGCTTATTCTTTTCACACGAAGGAAAAAAAATTGTGTGGGAGTCGATTTCACCCTACTGTCAAATAAATCGTAAATAAGGAAACTTCGGGAAAACCCTAAGTTTCCAGAGGAACCGGTTATCTGCGAGAACCGCACAACGAAAATAAGAAAACGATAACTTAGAATTTAAATGAGAATAAACGAAAACAGAGAGCAAAGAGGTTCTTATTCCGAATCTACGTAGAACTGGTACAAAAAGAATTGTTGAAAGCGTAAGAACTAGAAAACCCTAATTGAGACGCAACTCGCTAACAGAAAAACGGAAATATTCCTAAATGCTAGTTTTGGTGGTGAGAGCTCTGAATTTCGTGTTTCTGCTTCTGCCCTAGACCTCCTCTTTATATACTCCTCGTCTTGGCTATCCGATCTTTCCATTTCGCCCAGATTTGACTTAAATCGGGAATTTTCCATTCTTCTCGATCCTTCCTTTTCTTCTGCGGAAATCTTCTATTTCTCTTCAAACCTTCCTTTTATGTTCAAACTTGACTTTTATTTGCTTTCTGCGAGTAAACCGNGATGGGTTTTTATTGCGTTTTAGGTCCTTCCGGGCCGTTTTGCGATAAAACCGTTTTCCGACTTTTTATGGGATCGTTTCCTGATTTGACGTCGTTTTAATAAATTTCTCGAGTTAATCGCGAAGTTTTACGATTTACTCGACTCTTTTATTAAAAACACGTTTTTCACGACTTACTCGGCGTTTTTTATTAAAAGCGCGTTTTTTACGATTTTAACGAGAAATCTCGAATAAATCGTATAGTTTAGGCAATGTTCGGTGTTTCGTTTAACTGTTGCCGTTTTATACGATTTCCTCGAGTTCTTTCAGAGAAAACGAAGTTTTACGGTTTTTATCGTAAAACTCGAATGGTAAGTCGGATCGAGATGGAACGAGAGATATTTCGACCGTGGTTTAGAACGCGACCTTGTCGAAAGACGTAAGTTTCGAATCGGGAATGCGGGAAATCGAGACGCGGAGTGTTCGGGAAGTTTTTAGTTCGCCCATCGGCGTACTAAGCCGGGCCTGGCTTAGTATGCCGATGGGCGATCTAAAGAGTGACCCTTAGATCGCCCATCGGCGATCTAAGCCGGGCCCGGCTTAGATCGCCGATGGGCGATCTAGAGAGTGTTTCTTAGATCGCCCATCGGCGATCTAAGCCAGGTCCGGCTTAGATCGCCGATGGGCAATCTAAAGAGTGACCCTTAGATCGCCGATGGGCGATCTAGAGAGTGTTTCTTAGATCGCCCATCGGCGATCTAAGCCGGGTCCGGCTTAGATCGCCGATGGGCGAACTAGTTGCGACTAGTTCGCGTTTTACGGCTTTTTTCAGTTTTTTACGGTTTTGTAAAACGATTCTCGAGTTTTATAAAACGATCTTCGATTTCATAAAACGACTTTTTAGCTTTATAAAAATGACCTTCGAGTTTTATAAAATGATTCTCGAGTTTATAAAACGATTTCTCGAGTTTTATAAAGCGATTTCTCGAACTTTATAAAACGATTTCTCGAGTTTTATAAAACGGTTTCTCGAGTTTTATAAAGCGATTTCTCGAGTTTTATAAAGCGATTTCTCGAGTCTTATAAAACGATTCTTGAGTTTTATAAAACGATTCTCGAGTTTTATAAAACGATTCTCGAGTTTTATAAAACGATTCTCGAGCTTTATAAAACGATTTCTCGAGTTTTATAAAACGGTTCTCGAGTTTTATAAAATGATTCTTGAGTTTTATAAAACGATTCTCGAGCTTTATAAAACGATTTCTCGAGTTTTATAAAACGATTCTCGAGCTTTATAAAACGATTTCTCGAGTTTTATAAAACGATTCTCGAGCTTTATAAAACGATTTCTCGAGTTTTATAAAACGATTCTCGAGCTTTATAAAACGATTTCTCGAGTTTTATAAAATGATTCTCAAGCTTTATAAAACGATTTCTCGAGTTTCATAAAACGATTCTCGAGCTTTATAAAACGATTTCTCGGGTTTTATAAAACGATTCTCGAGCTTTATAAAACGATTTCTCGAGCTTTATAAAACGATTTCTCGAGCTTTATAAAACGATTTTTCGAGTTTTATAAAACGATTTTTCCAGTTTTATAAAACGATTCTCGAGCTTTATAAAACTGTTCTTTTTGTATTCTTGCGGAAAGTTTTGGCTATTAATTCCGTCGTACCGATTTTGACCCCAACAAATTGTGTCTTATTTCGTCGGGTCTCTTGATCGGTTCTCTCTCAACGACTTCGTAGATGAAGTTTGATCCGTTTCATTGTTGTTTGATCTAATACTTCACTTGTCTCTTGATCAGTTCTCCCTCAACTCCCTCAAATCTTCCTTGGGAGCTTAGAGGAGCGACTTTTCATTGTCTCTTCAGTGATCTGCTAAAAGCTCAAAGAGTAATCTCAGTACGGACTTTCTGATTCGAGAGTGACAGTGATAGATAAACCCTAGATCGGATTTCGATTTCTGGGTTTGATAACAAACATGAAGGTTTCTGAATAAATAAATGTTTGATTTTTACAGTTTAGTTTTAATTTATTTATATTTTCATCCGTTTTTAATTCTTGAAGGGTTACGACTAGAGACTTGTTATCTTGTGGTTTTTGTTTGTTCGTGGTAGGCCTGGGCATTTTACCCGGACCCGACCCAAAACAGACCCAAAAAAACCCAGTCCGGATAGGAACCGGCCTGATCAAATTACCCTATCGGGTCTTGTTGTAGAGGACCCGCGGGTCTTGGACCCGACCCGGACCATACCCGAAACCCGATGGATACCCAAATTAATAATTAATAATGTAAATAAAATAAAATGCATTGAGGGGAAGTCGAAGACGGGTTGTTTCTATAGAGAGTAAGGGGATCAACCACTAGGAGACAACGAATTGTTGTTGTATCTCGCATAGTTTAATATATATACACATTTTAATATAATAAAAAACACAAATTTTGAATAAAATTTTGAATATTTTTGGATATATAAATATTTGCATATATTTTTTTGTATATTTAGTTATTTTTTAGGTCGAACCCGACACAAAATTGAACCAAATCCGAACCGATAAATTCTAATTACCCGAATGGGTCCAACTATCTAAGACCCGACCCGACCCGGATCCGGTACGACTCGAACCGATCTAGAACCAAAAATTTGAAATTACCCTATGGAGTCCTAAACTCCTAGACCCGAAAGATCCGTACCCGAAAGGACCCGACCGAACCCGACCCGACTACCCAAATGCCCAGGCCTAGTTCGTGGTGGAGTTGGTGATGTGTGGAGCAATTAGGGAGCGTGATTTGGGGTATGTGATTCTTGTTCTTCTTCTTGAGTCATGTTTGATTGGGACGATGAAGAGGTAAAGTCTCAATCTTTACATCGGTTATTTTGTGGAATTATGAGTAAACTGCATTTTCTGGTTGTTTGTTTCTTTCTATGTGTATGTGTACGTAGAAGACAGGTTACTCATAATCAGTTTTATACATTTTTCTCTGTTTATACATTAAGTTCTGTCTATGAGTATAGACCCGTTTTTGAATCACTCGTGAGGTGCTAACTCTGAGTTTCTCTGATTGCTTGCTTCTTACCTTAAGTGCCCTTCTCTGTTCTGTGCAATCCCTCTGTCTTGTATTCATAAAGTCACCTATAAGTTAGTGAAGGAGCCTATAAGTTCATTCCGCACACAAACATATAAAGATCTGAGCTTGTCTCTCAAGGTAGTTTGTATTTAGGGTATGGTAGTTGAGTACCAAAATACATGAGAATGTGTGTTTTGAATGTTCATGTGACATTTTAATTGATAACCCGGGATGGCTCTTGAAGAGCAACAGGTTCTTGTTCTGGATCATTGAGATAGATGGGAGACTCCGCGACTTGGTTAAGTTATAAAACTTGAACTTGTTGTTGTCTTGGTTTGTCTCTCGTGTGATCACTCTTTGTAGTCCATCAATTGTCTGCCTTAACTTGTTGTTTTCTTTCATTTCTTTCATGTTTGTTTAAAATTCTAATTATAAATTTGTTTTTCTATTTTTCATCTGTTTAATGTCATATTTATTTAAAATTTATGAAATCCAATAATTTATAAGTTTTGTAATATTTAAATTTAGTAATTCAATTTCGAAAAAAAAGTTTAAGAGCCTTATAGCTTCTCCCAGTGGACCTTCACAAAACTAATTACATTAATAAGAGTTCTAAATTTCGTAAAATACATAATTAACTATTAAATTAATTTGACTCTAACAAATGGAGGTGCTCTTATATACTGAGCTGATGACCCATCGCGCTGGGATTCAATTAATTCGGCTGAAAGTTAAGACTTGGAAATGAAGTTATTCTATCTCATACTATAGATCACAGTTGAGGAATTGCTAGATTTGGGATGTAAAGAAGCAAACGGTGGAGGCACTGTCGGCAAAGGTTTGAAATTTGGTTGTATGCAGCAACCTGCCAAGAGAACATACACTTTTGGAAAACCTGGACAAGATACATTGTCCGACAGGTGCAAAAGTGATTTCAATAACAGAGCAGCCCAAATTAAGTGAATAAACTTTGAGATTTTTACTTGACCAGACAATCCAAAGGACGAGGCAAAACATTGAAAAGAAACAAGCTTTGACATATGAACAGGTGGAAGAAAAAAAAAACGTGATGCAGAATCAGAAATCCAAAATAATAAAAGAACAATTATAGTATTTTCCAAGTATTGAGACTTCTCTGAAGTCCACACTTTATTCATAAATTAGGCATATGCTTTATCAGAGCACTGGGTTATGAAAAAGAATCCTCAATTGAAATCACAACTTATTAATCTTAGCTTTACGAGATTATCAGGCGTTCGCTGCTGCTACTCCAGTAGATATTGATGGTATTGGTGAGCCCGCTTCTGGGCTTGACGACGCTTGAGGATAAGAGAGAAATCAAGATCGAACATTTGTATTTCAACACCAAATCCATCACCAACTACCACCAATAAGCGTCCTTTGCTCAATACTATGTTCCTGATAAGCTCAGCCGAAAATGTCTTACCACAAAGACAGGAAACAAGAATCCCAGCCATGTTTTGTCTTAACTCCTCCATGGAGAGCCAGAAGACAGGAACTTGAATGCCCTTACCCATGATTGATCCTTTCACTCCAAGAAACCTGTATCATACAACAACAACTCAGAATCCAGAACTGAGATAATTTTCTTCAGTATTTGGTCATAAGAGTTAATGAGAAAGCTGCGTACTCCTTTTCCAACATGGTGTACATTACTCTTCCACTTTTACTGAGAAGTGACACCTGAATGGGGCAAAACCCGAGTTGCGTTTTACGTTTAAAGCATAAATAAAAGTACATTAAATATAAAAGAAAGCTTACTGGAGAGAGAGAGAGAGAGAGAGAGAGAGAGAGAGAGAGAGTCTCTCTCTCTCTCTCTCTCTCTCTCTCTCTCTCTCTCTCTGCAACAAAGTTACGTTTACCTTATTTAGAGTCACCTCTTGGGCTGAAGCAGGGTGCAACCCAACATTCTGTATGAAGCGAAAATCACCACTAAAGTAAAGGTGTGTACATTGTTTCATATAAATGAAATCTTATTCCTTATATAGATAGATAGATACTAATCAATTTTAGCAATTATCAATACCACATACATCATTACTATCTCTTTAGATGTCTGTCTCACAACAGACATAAAAAGACTTTACCTTAAAAACTTTGCAATGTTGTTTAGGCAATCAATCAAAACCGGAATTGTCACTCCACGAATCAAAAGCGATGTGACGATGATACACACCCACCTGCAAAGACCAAAAAGAATAGTGTTATGTAGCAAACAAAAACGAGACATTCTGAACGATGGAAGAGTATTGATACCATTGAGAAACTGTGAAAGCATTGAGCAAGTCAATCAAGTGTTGAAATGAAACAAGAGCATCAGCAACATTGTGTAACGCGTAGACATTAGAAACCGCAGATTTCAAAACCCAAAGGGTGCGATGAGACAGAAGAATCACTGGGGACTGGAACAAGGAAGAGCGATTGCGAGAGAAGTTGGAGCTCTGGTGGTGGATGAAACTGTGGTAACTCCGAGTTTCTGGGAATTGGCGTGTAGCTTCTTCATCGCGAAGAGGAATGAGACAAGCATAAGAGGATCGATAACGGCGCACCGACCTGATGGATAAGCAACGGACGAGTGACATCGAATCGAATCGCGCCTGGAATAAATTCAAATTCGAGATCTACCGTTTGGATAGGTTTACGGTTAAAGGTGAAATTGTCTTGGGATCAGAAAATTGGGTTTCGCCGACGATTAGGGTTTAGAGAGAACTAGTACGCTTTGCATGCTGCATGTCTCAATTGATTTCTTAAGTAAACCCTGATTTTTGTGTTCTCTACAAATGTATAGTTAATTTTAGTCCTACAGTCTTAACCCAAACCGAGATTTTCAATTTCAGTTCTGGTATTTTTTTTTTCTTTTTCAGTTCTAGTAGTTCGTTTAGACAGGTTGATCTTATTGCCATACTCATACTAGTGTTTTGTCCGCGCTTCGCGCGGATTATTGATTTGGTTATTGGTCTATGATATTGTTGTGTTATTTACCATACTAATGTCAGAGATGTGTTCTGTTGTGTTTTGAGTGGTAGTGTTTTGGTAATGGTTGTTGTTTGACGGACGTTGTATGGGCGTGATACGTGGGATCGTATATTTTTGGGTGTGCCTTAGGAATTAAGTTGTAATGTGGTGAAATGAAGTTTTGATCTTTGCAGACTAAGACAAAGGTTCATATTCAGCATGTTAAAGCTTAGAATAAAATTTGTTTTTTGAATACCAAAAATTAAGCAATTAGTCATAGGTAATACAATTTTTTTTAGAGTTTGTCATAGTATAACATGCCCATGATTTATTTTATTGTTTAAATTTTGAGTTATGTTAAAAAAAATTATTTGTCATTGTATATGAAGTTAAACGACAACTTTTATGTATGGGATTTTAGTTTGTTCCTCTTTATGCAACTTTGTATATTATCAATGTTGTTGTCAAAGTTGAAACACGTTTCTAGTGTTGAAGAGATCAATAGTTTTCCTGTAATAGTCAAACAAATTTTAAAAATGAGTTTGACATAATAAGTTTGTTTTCCCTTTATATAATCTTGACATGCTTAAAAAAAATTACTATTACATAATATAGCTTTGTTAGATCATAAGTTTTAAGTTTAACCGAAACCTATTTTTATTAAGTGAAACTTTGGAGTTCTTATAGTTCCTTTATGTCAAACATCTTGTTACATTTTGTATTGAATATAACATATATTTTATTAAGAAAGTATATTACATATTTTGTTTTTACATATTTTGCATATTGGTTTAGGTCCACTTATTGATTTAGGAATTGAAAATAAAGTCTTAACTTTGTAACAAAAAATACAATTTAACCATAATTTTGTTGGAATTAAAAGACAATTTGTAAACCAAACCATAAAATAATTTTAAAATTTATAAATTTATTCTAATGGTAATAGTCATTTTTAACGAACTTTATTTTCAAGGTAAAATAAAATATATGAGTTGAAAATAATTACAAAGTCAGTAGGCATTGGTTTAAGATAAATAATTTCCTTTAAGTAACTACACATTTGATTTTTCTTATAAATATCTAATAGTGATTTTCCTTATAGACATGAAATTAATAATAAGCGACAATTTTAGAAAAATAAGCGAAAATTTGAAAATTAATAATATATGAATATTTATTTTGCTTATTTTCTATTATTTTAATATCAATAGATGTCTATCTTTTTTATTCCCTTAATATACCTTTAAAAAATTATTTCAATTGTTCGTATTATAATTGTTTGCTAGCGTTTTTACTGTTGTCATTTTCTTCATGAAGAATCATAAGAAAATTATGATATTTTTATGTTTGGGTTTTATATGTATTTGGCCATACGAAAATCAAACACATATTTAATATTTTTAGGTGTTTGGTCATTAAATATTTTTTTATTATTATTATTATCTCCCTGTAACTGATCTTTATATGTATTTGGTAAAATAATCCAATTTCCTACATTATTTTATAAAAATTTCTTAATTTAACTATGCAATATTTTTTGATACTTCATTTTTATTTTAAGTTGTTATAATGGATATGTAGCATCAAGAAATAATGAATTCAAAAAAAAAAATTAAATTGAACCAGTTTAATATAAGAATGTCTTTATTGTTACTAAAAAGTGAGAAGTAAATTATTTTCAAAATAATAGACAATGAATAGGAGTTTATTTTTAGATTTTTACATTATTAAAAATATTATATATATATACTTATATTTATGTAACTATTTTTTTATGCAAAAAGTATAATTTAGGTTAGATACATATTTTTTTCTTGAAAATGTTATTACTGTAAATATGAATCTAGAGTGAAAATATTATAAAGAAAAATGAGAATCCAATATATATATATATATATATTGAAATTCATATATTAGAAATGAAGCTACAATAACTTATTAATGATTGTGATTTCAGCTCTATTATAACATACACTAATACTATTTATTATAGCTTTGGTCGCCATAAAACTTTAACTAGTAAGTTCTATTCATAAATAGTTATTTAGACAATAAGAATTCAAAAACATGATCTTCACAACATACATGTTTAAGGCTACAAGAATTAAAATAATATTGAAATGCATAATGTATTAATAGTTTCATTACCTATAGATTTGATGATAAAAATGTTGATCCAATGTTTTCCCTTAGCTAAACAAATAAATAATTTTCAGTTCACCTATAGACTCATTAGTATATTTTCTTTTGAAATATTGAAGTTGTATTATAAAGGTAGATTTGGTTAATTGTATGATTTGTAATAGAGTTTTTTATTTTTATAGAAATATAGAGTAAAACTATTTTGTCTCTAAATATTAGAGATGTAATTTTATTCACTACATTTTCTTTTAAAGCAAAGAAATTCTATAAAGTGCATATGTTGTCACCGATTTGATTGCCTTGATTCAACTTTCTAATTTATTATATTGTATTTTAATTCATATTTTCCCGGGTTAGATTCAATTTAAATTTTTAGGTTTGGATTTTTTCTGTGCCCCTAAATTTAAAATTGCTAATAACTGTTTATGCACTATAATTACTGAAACATAGCCGACAAAAAAAAAAAATATTACTGAAACATAAATACTAACCAAAACTTATGTGGAAATAATTTTTATTCCTAAAATAAGTTTCACGCAATATGCAAAAAATCCAAGAATTGCAATTTTTCTTCTCATTTTTATGTTTTTCATGAAATTAAAACATCAATTGAAATCCGTGCAACACACGAATTAGTTATTAATATAAATTCGTTTTACTATATAATAAATTGTATATGAAATTGTTAAAACATGACAAATAAGCAAAATTACCTATATCATAGAAAATATACAAATTATTCAGCAAATTTACTTAAATCTTATAGTAGAAAAATATATTTTAAGAAAACATTCTAATACAAAGGAATTAAGTTATTTTGTAAAATTATAATATCAGTAATATAAATTTGTTTTTATTATATAATAAATAAAATTATTAAAACAAAATTACCTAAAATCATGAAAAATTTGACACTTGAGCAAATTTACTTATTAAGTAATAGTATAGATAGATTAGGTTAAGAAAAAAATAGTTAAACTGGTTGATTTAATTAAATCGAACCGAACTTATATATAGAACGAACCAAAAACACCAAATCATTGTTAAAATCTTATATAATAAAACCGACTTATCTCTCTCCTCCTGATGCCAGCAAATACATAGGGGCGTTTTACGCCACGTCACCATTCTCTTCTTCTTCTTCGGTGTGCAAATTATCACGAGTTAATGTGAATCATGCTTAAATTAGTGTTTTAGATGATAAAGACCCAATCTTACAAATGAACAACAAGCCCAGTGTAACTCTTTCATTGAAGCTAATGTAATATCTAAACGCCTCTTTCTCCTTCTTTGACGGTCTGCTTGAAACTCCTAAACTACACCGGCTCTGGTATAACGGAGGTGTAACGTTTTGCGTATTCACTCAAAAGTTATCATTAAGCTTCACCTTTAACTCTTTCATTGAAGCTCTCCCACGGTGTCGATTTAAATAACCCTTTCCAATTTCCATCACTGATCTTTAATTTGTTCAATTATAAATAGGATGCAGAAAACTTAGAATCTCACACTACAAGAGAACTCAAGTTTTACTAGGATAACTTTACCTCGTAATTTCCTAGTAAATGACTATTTACTAGGAACTTACGAGGAAACATGTTTTTTCGAAACATGTTTTCTCGAAACACGTTCTTCGTAAAGTCTTTTTCCTCGTAAGGTCCTAGCTAATTTACGAGGAAACTTTTTTTCGTAAACGCATGGATACGTATTTCGTCGTAAAATCCTCGTACATACTTCCTCGTAAAGTCATAGTAACTCATTTCCTCGTAAGTTCGTAGTAATGTTTTACGAGGAACTTACTAGTTAAAAAGACAAATTATAAATAAAAACAGAAATAACAAAATATTTTATAAATAACTAAATATTTAAGTTTTAAAATTCATAATATACAATTAAAAATTAAAAAAAAAACTACGGATGGTGCTCGTTAAATTGCCGAACGAAGTCGTCCCGGCTCGCCAACTCCTTGTCAATGTTGGTCATTGGCTGTGACTGTGACGGTGGATGTTGTTGGGTTTGAAGCCCTCCGTTTTCCCGTCTCACAAGCAACATCTTCGCAAATTGCGGGTTTCCAACCGCCAAAATGTCCAGGACATCGGTGAGAGAACTCACATGAGATTGCGTTGCCTGCAACTCCGAGCGCAGCTGAGCAGTGACATCGTGTTGTTCCTGAGCATAAGACGATGTCGCTGTGGACACATCGTTAACGGAGCCAATCCCGACGATACGTCCCTTTTTCCTAGGGGTGACCTGTAAATAAAAAGATAAATAACGTTAAAAAAATTAAATAAATAATAAATTAATAGAAAAACAAATTATTTACCTCCTCGTAAATCTTATCCACTTCAAAAGTGGATAATATGACTGGTGTCCCAGACTGCTGAGTCAGCTGGGTCTGGCGTTGGTCAACCCGAGCAACAACCTCATTGTAGATCTGCTCGCATCTAGGATATACAAAATGCCCAGCCTTGTTCCGGTGGATCCTCTC